CCTCTTCTCTTTCTGAAAAAAAAAAAAAAAAAAAAAAAAAAAAAAAAAAAAAAAAAAAAAAAAAAAAAAAGAAGGAAAATTTACTTGCATACCATTCAACTTTTTTTATTTACAGCAAAAACGTAAAAAAATGAAAAAGATTTATGTACATACCACCCAATTTCTGATTTCTGATTCAATCCTAGGTTTGCTCTTTTTCCACCTTTTATTTTTATTTTTTTATTTTTTTGATTTTTTGTCTGGAGAGGACTCATGTTGGATCTTGACTCATGAAAATACACGTTTTCATGCTTAGGTAACGTGTATATAAAAAATGTAGTTTAGGTGTTAAGATATGGGAATAATAAGAATTGAGTGATATGTATGTAAATCTAGCACTCAAAGTTTAATGTTTACATCCTCCGTGTCATAACTTTATGTATTCAAATGTGTATTTCACTTCTAAATGGAAGTGCTTATGGCATTTTTGATTTGGTGTTAAAGATTTAACTGTTATGCTTCTAAATTTGAATGTTTAGATGTTAGATATGTAAACACACGAGAATTGTGTGGTATCTTCGTAAATGTCCCATATATACAAGGCGTGACGATGAAATACATCATTAAAGGCAATCCATTTAGGTATTTCAGAGTTCTACTCTTCTCAGGCAGTGGGGTTCTCTATTTATATCCGAGCAACCTACATTGCTTTGGAACGTGGGCAATGGAACTGGCAACCTGAATTCTTTTGCTACACCTGTACTATCATTCTTTCCTATTTTTTAATTGATTTTAATGTTGTGTTCATTGTTTTGTTTTATTATAGTATATGAACTTTTGTTCTGTTTTGAAATGAATTTGTGATTCAGAAGTATTAAATTTGTGGTTGTCAGAGTTTTGTCTAAATAACTTTACTGAACAGGTGCAAAATGATCATTTTTCTAGAAATAACTGTCTTACAACTGTTTTCATACAGCTCAAACAGGCAGTCAGCTTCCCAGCAGCAGCTTCATGGGACAGCGCAACTACAACTGAAAAACTGAGAAGCTGTAGCTGCCCCATACAAAACCTTAAAAAAATTTGATTGTAAAGTAGTGGAAAAATAAATTTCTTAGAAAACTGTGATGGAAAATATAAATATATTTTTTTCTTAAAAAATTACATAAAATTCTTTTTACCTCCATCATATTTTTATGTATGTTTGAAAAAATTAGCTTCTCATCACAAAAAAATTTTAGAAAGTAGTTTCTCAGATGGAACTTTAGTGGTGGTATGAAATGTCAAACAGATAGCTGTCCAAGAAGCACATTTTTCCAACAATTACACATTTACTTTTTCTCTTTTTTTTTTTTCCATTTGATGTCCAAGAGAAAATTAAATGCAACACATACATAAATATTCATAATTTTTTGGGTAATTGATCTATGATTCTCAGCCAAAGAATATATAATGTCAAGGTTATATGAATATTATCATTAATCTATGAATAAGATTTAAAAAATAAAAGATTTCAGTGAGTTAATGTAGTGAGAAGATATTTAAATTATATTTTATCTATGGATTATAAATGATTATATATATATATAAATTGGGGTTCATAATGTAATAAAAAATTAAAATGGCATTAATGTGGGGCTATGGACCATTGTTTTTTCCACAAGTACAAGTAAAACAACTGGCCAAAATATGATATATGATTTGAAACGTGCCATTTTTATTCATTTTATTCTTGAAAATGCCAAATGTTTTCTTCCATTTAAATGTGCCTGAGACAGTTGTTTTTAGCATTTTTGTAAAGCTACGATGGTATGTGAGGAAGAGGTTTGAAGTTTTCTATAGAGGTTGCTTTCTTGCTTTAATGAGAAGAAACCTTAACATCATTGCTCGAATATTATAAAGCATAATTGATTATTTATGTATTTATCTACCGGTAAATAAATAAATGATATTGAGATTTATAATAACTATTTTAATTAAAATAATCTAATGGACATAACAACTGCATATTTTTAAAAATAGCGTGGCTTTATTATGCAATGGCCTAATCCACCCTCATATCCGCATCGGATCAACTTCTCCGCAGTCCTCTTTAACAAGTTTTTGTCTATGGGTAGGGTTTTTAATGAGTCGATTTTCAGTTGAGCTGGGGCACGATTAAAATTTGTTTGAATTGATTGAGTTTGATTTGAAGTTAGCTGGTCTTATTTTGTTTGATTTTGAGCCAAATCAGCTCAAAAATGAGTTAAGCACAATGTGGCTCTAAATCAAAACAAGCGGGCTCAAAATTGACTTATCTGGATTCGTCCAACTTGAAATCAGCTTGATCGGAATCGAAAGCAAAATAAGAGAGCTCAAATTTAGTTATTTGGAGTTGTTTGAACTCAAAATCGACTTATAGCTCGTTGTATTTGATTTTATTTAGCATTATATATATATATATATATATATATATATATATATTTATAAATAAAAAATGTTG